TTTTGATGCTCTGGATTCTGTTAAGGCTTGCTTTATGGCCTAATATGTGGTCTATTCTGGAGAATGTTCCATGTGAGTTGGAAAAGAAAGTATACTTAGCTGCTGTTGGGTGGAGTGTTCTGTATATGTCTATGAGATCAAGTTTGTTGATGTGGCATTTAGATCTTCCATGTCTTTATTGAGCTTCTTTCCGGATGTTCTGTCCTTCACCGAAAGTGGTGTGTTGAAGTCTCAAATAAGTTGGTGTCAAGCGCTTTATCCTCAATCTCACTAATTCTGACTTCCATTGCCTCAATTCTGCTCCCATGACTTTCTCTTGAGTTGTCTAATTCTGAAATTTTATTGTTAATCTTCTGGATTTCTAATTGCTGTCTCAATATGGATTCTTGAAGCCTATTAGATTTGTCATTATGTTCTTCTCTAATCTTCTTAAGCTCCTCTATTGCGAGGTCTGCATTTTGCCGGATCTCCTTTCTGATCGCTTGAAGAGGTCTATATATTAATCTTTTACATTCTGCCTCTGGTAATTCCAAGAAATTCTCTTCCTCCAGAAAATTCCTTGATTCTTTATTTTGGGAGCTTGCTGAAGCCATCATGGTGTGCCTCTTTATGTGATTTGATATTGACTGTTGTCTCTGAGCCATCAATAGTTATTGGATTTATTTTGTGTTTGCTTACTGTGTCCTAGCACTTGTTTTGTTTTGTTTTGATATGTCCAAATACGCTGCTCGTGTGAGCTAGTCCAATCACCAGCATCCCTGAAGCTCCAACATGGCCAGGTGGCCAGACCTGCTACTAAGTATGTGAGCCCAGGAGTCCGCCCACTCCTCCTGTATGGATTCAGCGCAGGTGTCCAGGCAGCGAGCCACCAAGTTTGTGGTGTAGGTTCTCACTTACAGTTCTAGACAGGCATGGGTGATTGCTGTAGGCACAGACATCTGGCTGCAGCAGGGGGTCACATGCTCAGCAAGGCAGGTAGCCGAGAGCCGCCTCCAGTGTCCAGGAGGAAAGCATGTCCCTGTTCCCTAAAGCGCTTAGGTGGATGGGTTTTGCAGTTGGACTATGAGCACCCAATGCTGTTGGCTGTAAGGACCAGGGGGCACCACTTATTCTTGTACCTCTATCACAGGTGGGTAGGTGGCATGGGTGGAGCCACCAGTCCTCAGGCCCCTGATGTAGGTAGGCGAAGACCCTGCTTAATAGACAGAGCAGTGTCAAATGTCATGAACCTGCCACTTCATAGCCGAAACAGCTGAAGTTAGACTTCAGGTATATAGCCTGTTGTACTGTGGTAATGAGGTCCTACACCGTTGAAATGGGCCCACGCAAGTCTCTGCAGGGGGAAAGGCACTCAAAATCCATGGACCTCTTATGCCTGTGCCTAGGCAAAGGAGCTGTGCCTCCTTGAGTTCCTGGCTTAGGGGAGCCAGCAGATTATTTTTTCCCATTTGTTAATTTGTTCACTCTCGAAGGCCAGGAGAATGGCTCAGGGTGCATGACAGGTCCCACTTCCGGCCCAGGGGACTCAGTAATTGCTAAAGCCAGTCCCGGTCCCAGACCCAGTGCTGAGCAGGAAGCGTGGAGGTAAACGGGAGAGAGTGTCTTCCCAAAGGGGGGTTGTTTTTGATCCACACTGTAGGCCAGACACAAGTACTTATCTTTCGCCGATCAAGGGCTGCTTCTCACTGGTTCTGGATGGCCAAGTAGACTCTCTGCTACTGGGTCTCTCCGGGTGTGGAAAACGCCTTCCGAGTGTCACTGCTTGCCTGTCTCACCGTGCACCACGAGCTGATCCAGCTGAAGGCCTCCTGCTCCCACCAGGTCAGGTCTGGCAACTCCTTGCTGCTTCCGAACCATCTCTCCCTCCCCCGCCACTCAGTCTGATACCTCAACTTTGCCTTTGATGTTCAGGGCTCCTAGACTGTCATATATAACCGACCCACTTGTTTTTTTGGGTCTTTGTTGTAAGAGGGACCACTGGAAGTGTCTGACTACTCCACCATCTTGGCCCATCTCCTTTTTTTTTTTTTTAAATCACAAGCTCATGTGAGTCTTCAAATCAAATCCAACACTACCTGGAAATCACATTAATACATTAAAACAAACAAACAGCTGCTATGAAGTTAATCTCAACTCATGGCAACCCCATGCGTGTGAGAGTAGAACTGTGCTCCATACAGTTTTCAATGGCTGTGACCTTTTGGAAGGAGATCGCCAGGCCTTTCTTCTAAGGTACTTCTGGGTGGATTCAAACTGCCAACCTTTTGGTTAGTAGTCAAGCATTTAACTATTTGTGCCACCCAGGGACTCCATTCATGCACATAGATCCATCTAGTTATTTTTCACAGCTGCACACAATATTCCACTGTGCAGATGCACCATGATTTTTTCAAAGAGTATCCTAGATGGTTTGTTTCCTAGAAATGCTGCAATGCATAATCTCATCCAAATGGTATTTCATATTTGTGAAGGTATATCTTTAAGGCAAATTTGTACAACTGGGCCTGCTGAAGCCTGGGTAAATGTATACACGATTGTGGCAGACAGCCCAGCCCCTTCATTCAGGCTACACCATGGTGGGCTCCTGCGAGGAGTGCTTGTCACCCCACAGCCCCACCAGTGAGTATACTGTACAGCTTCCCAATTTTTGCTAATTTGATTGGTACAGAATGGAATCTTGATGTAGTTTTAATTTGCATTTTCCTTACGGGTAAAGTTATGCATCTTTTCATACATTGAAAACCTATTTGTATAGCTTTTTCTGAGAATTGTTTATTCATGTGTTCTGCCCATTTTTCTAGTAGGTTTTAGGTCCCTCTCTTTTTTTTTCCCCCCAATTTTTAAGAGTTCTTTGTACAATAGAAAGAGTAAACCTTTGTTTGTGATATAAGGGGTAAATACTGTCTTTTGATGTTTCTTACAGCAGTTTGTGGAGCCCTGGTGGCGCAGCGGTCAACAGCTCGGCTGCTAACCAAAAGGTCAGCCATTTGAATCCACCAGCCACTCCTAGGAAACCCTATGGGGTAGTTCCACTCTGTCCTATAGGGTCCCTATGAGTTGGAATCAACTCGAAGGCAACAGGTATGGCTTGGTTTTGGATAGCAATTTGTTTATTTTGTTTTGTTTATTTTGTTTTAGAGGATCTGTTTGTCTGCTATGCAAAGCTTTTTAAAAAGCATTAATAAATTCAATTTTTTCTTTTACTGCCTCTAGATTTTGAATCATACAGAGAGTCTTTCTTCAGGTCATAAAATAATTCATCTCATTCTTCTAGTATCTATATAATTTTTTTAGATCTCTGATCCATTAGGAGTTTATTCTGATGTATGTATGAGATATGGGGCCCATTTTCCCTTTGAACGAATCACTGTCCACTGGTCACAGTATCACTTATTTAAAAAGTCCATTTTCCCCCAAGTGCCTTGAGACACCACCTTTACCATATATGAAATTCTTACATCTTATGGGTCTACTCATGGAACTTTATCTCTTTGCATTGGTCATCCTGTCTCATCATGAGCCTGTCCCACAGTTTTAATTACAGATGCCATGTAGTTTCAGTATCTGGTAGGGCTAGTCCTTGTCATTGCTCCTTATGCATGTATATTTTTCCACATGAATTGATTTTTCTAGCTCCAGGAAAAAACCTTAGTGGAATTTTAATGGGATTGCATCAAATTTATGTATTAGGAGAAGAGATATCTTCAAAATTTTGAGTCACCCTATAAGAACACGGGATAGCTTTCCTTTGTTCAAGTATACTTTTGTCTTTAAATGCTTTTAAGTTTTCCTCATGTAAACCAAAAATCAAACACATTGCCATCAAGTTGATTCTGACTCAAGGTGACCCCATATGTTGCAGAGTAGAACTGCATGCTATAGGGTTTTCAAGGCTATGACCTTTCAGAAGCAGATTGCCAGCCCTTTCTTCCAAGGCATCTCTGGATAGATTCAAACCACCAGCTTTCTGGTTAGTAATCAACTACTTAATTTTCGCACAATCCCGGGACTCCTTTTCCTCATGAAGGTTTAGGATATTTCTTTTTCAATTTATTCCTATGCAATCATTTATCTTTTATGTGGGTATTTTAAATGCAGTCTTTTATTCCACTATAGTTCTAATGGGTCATGTTTTGAAAACATAAAAGACTACTGACTTTTCACATTACCACATCCTGTTACTTTACTGAATTCTCTCGTTTGAATTTGTGTTAGCTTTATCATTGATTTTCTCGGTTTTACCTCTAAGGCTTATGAATTTGATACATTTTTAATTTAGGGAATTCTCACTTTCTAAAACTCACATATAAATTGAGACTTTATATTTTTTATTATAATATACATTATTTCAATTTTAGATCATTCAAAATCTCCATAAAATCCTAGTCCACTGTACGTTCTCATATTCATCCAGTCACTGAGATAATAACAACAGAGACTAACATTTCCTGGATTCCTAGGACCTCCACCCATGCTGATTTTGGCACCTACAGACCAGGCTGCCAGCCCTGAACCCCACCTCCACTTGTCTGTATCACGGGTGAGCGACTTTACACCAGAGTTCCCCTTGGAGTCTGTTTATCCCTTTCCCCCTCACCAGCCGTGCTTTCCTCAGGCCTCATCCTAACATCTTCTGCCACCCTCCTGCATGCTCATCTTCACAGAGAGAAGAAGGAACGTTTTCACAAACCTCATGTAAAACTCCCCCATTATACAACTCTCAAGACAGAAGGCAAAGAAATACATAATCTACCTAACTATTAGCTCGGAGCACTGGTGGTGCAGTGGTTAAGAGCTTGGCTGCTAACCAAAAGGTCAGCAGTTCAAATCTACCAGCTGCTCCTTGGAAACCCTACGGAGCAGTTCTACTCTGTCCTATAGAGTCGCTATGAGTTGGAATTGACTCGACAGCAACACGGTTTTAATTATGAGCTCAAATGGACTACACAGCAATACAAAATGCTAGATGTTAACCAACATATTTCCCAAAATAATGGTACCTTTTCTTTCTTCACACGATCCATAATATTGCCAAGATCCTCCACATCAACGACAGAATTCAGACTCTGCTGGTCCTCGGTACCACACTCCTCCTCGCTGCTGCTCTCAAAGGGCTCCTCCTCCTGGAACAGAAATACTTCAACTACAGTTTCCAAAGAAGCCAGGGAAAGATTTTCTTCCACTCCCTCCCAAACTGTGAATTCACTGTCTTCTAACGTATTATTTTTAAAAAGCCAAACCATCTAAAGTCTTCTCAACACGGAGATGCCTCTTTCAGCAGGAGCAACCTGGCCTCAGACTGCTCACTGTGAGAGAGCATCACGGAGCGAGGACCACGAGCGTGTCTCCTGCCCTTGCCTGTGAAGGCAGGAAACACGGTAGGTAGATAGAGAGGGAACACAACAGCACTATGAAAAAGCATCATGGAACACCTACTGTGTGCTCAGCACATAGTTCTACATATGTTCACTCATATAATCCTTAACCAGACTTAGGAGGTAGATATGTTCAGCATAATGAGCCCGGGTGGCACAGTGGTTAAGCGCTTGGCTGCTAACTGAAAGGTCGGCGGTTTGAACCCACCAGGCGCTCCGCAGGAGAAAGATGTGGCACTCTACTTCCATAAAGATTACAGCCTTGGAAACCCTATGGGCAGTCCTACTCTGTCCTACAAGGTGACTTGATGGCAATGGGTTTTTTAATGTATCATCTTACAGATGAGGACATGAAGGGCTAGAGAACTTAAGAAATCACAGCAAATAAGCAGCAGACACAGGGACAGCCTTCATCCCTGCATGAGGAAGCTAAGGAAGTAAAGAAGAATAAGTAGGTTTTTAAGCAGTAGTTTGTTTGTTTTAAAGAACAGGTACTTGCCAAGTAACACATACATCGCTTTAAAGTTAAAAGAAACAAGATGTCAATAACTTCCATGGACTAGCCAATATGCCTCAGAATATAGCATTAAAAAAAAAACAGTTACCAGATGCTCTTTATCACTACTCTTATTCAACATTGTGCTGGAAGTCCTAGCTAGAGCAATAAGGCAAGAAAAAATAAAGGGCAACCAAACTGGTAAGGAAGAAGTAAATGTACCCCTATTTGCAGATGATACGATCTTATACACAGAAAACCCCAAAGAATCCACAAGAAAATTACTGGAACTAATAGAAGATTACAGCAAAGCAGCAGGATACAACATAAACATACAAAAATCTGTTGGTTTCCACACTACACCAACTAAGAGAAGTTCGAAGAGGAAATCACCAAATCAATACCATTTACAATAGCCCCCAAGAAGATAAAATACTTAGGAATAAATCTAACCAGAGACGTAAAAGATCTATACAAAGAAAACTACAAGACACTACTGCAAGTAACCAAAAGAGACCTGCGTAAGTGGAAAAACATACCTTGCTCATGGATAGCAAGACTCAACATTGTGAAAATGTCAATTCTACCCAAAGAGATCTACAAATACAATGCAATCCCGATCCACATTCCAATGACATCTTTTAATGAGATGGAGAAACAAATCACCAACTTCATAAGGAAAGGGAAGAGGCCTTGGATAAGTAAAGCATTAGTCAAGAAGAAGAACAAAGTGGGAGGCCTTGCACTACCTGATTTTAGAACCTATTATACCGCCACGGTAGTCAAAACAGCCTGGTACTGGTACAACAACAGATTCATAGACCAATGGAACAGAATTAAGAACGCAGACGTAATTCATCCACCTATGAGCAGCTGATATTTGACAAAGGTGTTAAATGGGGAAAAGACAGTCCCTTTAACAAATGGCACTGGCATAATTGGGAATCCATCTGCAAAAAAAATGAAACAAGACCCATACCTCACTCCATGTACAAAAACTAACTCAAAATGGATGAAAGACCAAAATATAAAATCTAAAACAATAAAGATCATGGAAGAAAAAACAGGGACAACGCTAGCAGCCTAAATACATGGCTTAAACAGAATACAAAACATAACAAACAATGCACAAACACCAGAAGAGAAACTATATAACTGGGAGCTCCTAAAAATCAAACCCAGTTAGAAAAGACGAAAAGGATACAAACAGGCACTTCAGCAAAGAAGACATTCAGGCAGCTAACAGATACATGAGGAAATGCTCAGGAACATTAGCCATTAGAGAAATGTAAATTAAAACTACAATGAGATCCCATCTCACCCCAACAAGGCTAGCAGCATTAATCCAAAAAACACAAAATAATAAATGTTGGAGAGGATGTAGAGAGACTGGAACACTTATACACTGCTGGTGGAAATGTAACATGGTAAAACCACTTTGGAAATCAACTTGGCATTTCCTTAAAAAGCTAGAAATAGAAGTACCATACTATCCTGCAACCCCACTCCTTGGAATATATCCTAGAGAAATAAGAGCCTTCACACGAATAGATATATGCACATCCATGTTCATTGCAGCACTGTTTACGATAGCAAAAAGATGGAAACAACCTAGATGCCCGTCAACAGATGAATGGATAAACAAATTATGGTATAGTCACACAATGGAATACCATGCTACAATAAAGAACCATGATGAATCCAAGAAACATCTCACAACATGGATAAATCTGGAAGGCATTATGGTGAATGAAATTAGTCACAAAAGGATAAATATCATAAGAACTCAAAAAACGGTTTAAACACATAAGAAAACATTCTTTGATGGTTACGAGGGTGGGAAGGGAGGAAGAGGGGAACTCACTAACTAGATAGTAGACAAGAATTATCTTAGGTGAAGGGAAGGACAGCACACACTACAGAGGAAGTCAGCACAACTGGACTAAAGCAAAAGCTAAGAAGTTTCCTGAACACAACCAAACACTTAGAAGAACAGAGTAGCGGGGGCAGGGGTCTGGGGACCATGGTTTTGGGGGACATCTAGGGCAACTGGCATAACAAAGTTTATTAAGAAAATCTTCTGCATTCCACTTTAGTGAGTGGCATCTGGGATCTTAAAAGCTAGCGAGCAGCCGCCTAAGATGCATCAATTGGTCCCAACCCACCTGGAGCAAAGGAGAATGAACAACACCAAAGACACAAGGAAAATATTAGCAGAAGAGACAAAAGGGCCACATAAGCCAGAGACTCCATCAGCCTGAGATCAGAAGAACTAGATGGTGCCCAGCTACCAGGAATGACCACCCTGACAGGGAGCACAACAGAGAGTACCTGACAGAGCAGGAGAAAAGTGTGGTGCAGAACTCACATAAAAAGACCAGACTTAATGATGTGACTGAGACTGGAGGAACCCCAGAAGACATGGTCCCCAGACTCTCTGTTAACCCAGAACTAAAACCATTATCGAAGCCCACTCTTCACACAAAGATAAGACTGGACTATAAAACATAAAATAATACTAGTGAAGAGTGTGCTTCTTTGTTTCAAGTAGATACATGAGACGCAATGGGCAGCTCCTGTCCGGAGGCAGGATGAAAAGGCAGAAAGGGATAGGAGCTGGTTGAATGGACACAAGAAACCCAGGGTGGAAAGTGGGAATGCACCATCACATTATAGGGATAGCAACTAGGGTCACATAACAATATGTGTATAGATTTTTGTATAAGAAATTAACTTGGGCTGTAAACTTTCACCTAAAGCACAATTTAAAAAAAAAAAAAAATTCAGTTTCCATTGAGTCGACTCTCAATTCATAGGGTTTTCAGTGGTTGATTTTTCAGAAGTAGATGGCCAGGCCTTTCTTTTGAAGCACCTTTATGTGGACTCAAACCACCAACCTTTTGGTTAACAGCCAAGTGTGTTAACCCTTTGCACCTTCCAGGGACTAGAGTAAAGTATAGAAAGTCACATAGTCAGTGCTGATCAAGCTTTCAATATAAACTAAAATAGCGCCCCCAGAGGCCACTCTTTATCCTGCCTCAGGTGATACCGCCATAATAGATGTTGTTTACCATCTCCTGGTTGAAACCAAGCCTGACACTATGGGAGCGGGTCTGGGACTGGCTCACTGGTATACCTTCTGCTCTGTTGATAAATGAGTAGAGTCTTTGCCTTACTTATAGATGACAAAATAAACCGCGTCCGGTAATAGGTCTACGGAGGTGTTCTTAAAGGTATCTCAGCCCAGCTTCAACAGAAAATCTCTGCCAGCTAACTTCACCCCCATCTCCCAGCTGCAGGCCTAAAGCATCAAGAACAAAGACAAGAACACCACCAGAAGCATTCCTTCTAACAGTTATCCCATTTGCTTCTAGTTCAATGTTTCCCAACCAACATAGGAAGGCATTCAAGTGTTTTAGGCTCTCCCAACGTCCTCATCTTCCTAGAACTGCAATAAGCAACCACACTGCCCACGTGTCCTGTGTTCCTACCCCTTCACTTCAGTAAATGACAGAACCTCAGACACAGGAGAGACCCTATGGAGCAGACAGTCCAGTCTCCCCATCTCACCCTGGACCAGCAGTCGGCACACTTTTTCTATAAAGGGACAAACAGTAAATATTTTTGACCTTGCGGAACGTACAGTCTCTGTCTCAACTACTCAATTCTGTCATTGTAGCATGAAAGCAATCACAACAATACGTACATGAATGGATGTGGCTCTGCTCCAAAATACCCGTATTGACAAAAACAGGAAGCAGGCTGGGCTTGGCCAGTCAGCTGTGGTTTGCCAACCCTGGTCCTAGACTCTCCTTTGTAACTTCTCAGAACATTGTAGTTCCTGACACAAAGTCTCAGAAGTTTACTGCCTCCCAAAGGAACCCATTTCACATTCACATAAAATCTAATGGCAACTGCCACTCCCTTGGCCTGTGACTTTGGAAAAATTCAAAAGTTCTTTTCAATAAACATCCAATTTAATTCTTCGTAGGCATGAGGCTAGAAAATCAATGTGGCACAGTCCCCTGGTCCTGGGAGAGATTCTAATCCAGTAAGAGACACGTACACTGTCAAGTACAAAAAGGGGGCACCTTGCCTGGCTCGCAGCCCTTGGGAGGCCGCCTGGATGAGCTGATACCTGAGACAAATGCTCAGGACTAGTAAACTGGCCTGGCTGGGAAAGTCACTAGAGGCAGACGGGCAAAGTCACTTAGGCAGCGTTAGGAGGTGTGCAGCAGCTTTAAACAACTGT